TGAAAATTATTGTCGCTCTACGCCTATAAAATGTGACAGGGTCAATTTCTGGGGTTTTAAATACTGTTATTTGTAAACAGTAATTTTCTGTCTCTTAAAACTTGCAAAGCAAATAAAGCTTCAGTTTTATTTCTGTCAGACATTGCATATAAAGGGTTTGTTACTATCCAAATGGACTGTCATATATATAGATTTAGCCAGGGCTAAAAACGAAGCTCCCATTAATAATTTTATAATTTAAATCAAACAATAAATTTGTAATCCACAAATCAGTCAACTTAACGGCACATTCATGTGTGAGGGAAAGGCTAAGTGATTTTAGAGTGAAAGATCTTAACAACAACAACAACAATACCTTTATTCGCCTTGTACTTAATTAATTACATATATGAAAGAGCAAAAATATATATATATATTTATTTGTACTTAATAAGGACTGGAGCTGAGATAATCCTAAGATTTTCTCGCCAGTTCTCCAGAACTTCTTACTTCGAGTTGATAGCCTCATTCGTACACCCATAAAAATAGCAATCATCTTCGATCACATTCAAGAGCTATAATGGCTCTTGATCACAGTAGATTAGGCCTGGAAAACAAATCAGGCCGAATTTTTTGCTTTCGATAACAGGTTTCATACAAATAATTGCAATCACTTTTCAAGGACTTTTCAAGGACCACCTACTAGGAATATAATTTCACAGATTGTACAAAAATGCACATTTCCAGTCTGTTCTTATAAGGCTCTAAAGCCCCGTGCAAACGGATGCAACATTGTTGGATGTTACATGTTGCGTCCGTTTGCACACCTTGTTGCATGTTGTTGCGTGTTGTTGCACAAAGTTTGAAACTGGTCAAACTTTTCAGCCAAAAACTCCCAACATTTTCTTTGTTCCGTGATCGCCGAAGCGTAGAGCAACAATATTGGATCCGTTTGCACAGCTCTTCCAACATTGTTGGGGCCACGCACGCTCATTACGCATGGATTACAAAGACTTAGGGGTTGTATTCCTCCCACGATGCACTGCAGGTCCCAAACTTGTTAGGAGTTGTTGCTTCCGTTTGCACACCACTGCCAATACGCACGCAACAACTCCCAACATTGTTGGCGCAACAATGTTGGGAGTTGTTGCGCCCGTTTGCACGCAGCCTTAGGCTTGAACTGTTTGCCTCACCAACTTCTCTACATTTTTCAGTTCACTTAACTTTAATTGTTAGTTAATTATTGCGTAAAAAATTGAGCACTTTGTGTAAATAACCTTTAAAATGCTCTGAGTTATGATTCATATTCTGTCTTGGACAGCTAAAAATAAAAAAAACCCTTCCATGCCACTAAATTCAAAGTTGAAGAAAATTCAAGGACTTTTCAAGTCCGTGCGAACCCTGGATAAGTTTACTTTACGAAATCTTACCAACACATCTTAGGTGAAACAGTACTATTTATCATATAGATCTTGGACAGAATGCAGTATTTCACAATTTTTCAAGACAAATTGCAACCAGTCAATATTCAGGACGATCAATCGTGGGCTTTTAGCGAAACCGTTCAAAAAATTTCCAAAATCACCTATACGGCCAGCCGGTTCTCACTTTTGACGAGTGCCAAATTAGCAGTGAACATTAATAGAGTTACGCTTCGACATGATAAAGAATTTATCATGTTTATTTTTTTTATTGAATGGTTTTGTAACGATGTGTAATCTTAAAAAGCCCTTGATACGCGCGGTATTTTGAGTACTACTGCGAGCGATAATCATGAACGACTGAAAACAAACGGCACAGCGATTAAAATTGCAAGAGAGACTACTAAAAATCAATATTAAAGGAAATATAATTCGGTGAAACATTTACAGAGACAACAATTTACATTCACGAAGACAAGTATTAAAATGTTTCTAAAAATCCTGCGTCTTAAAGCTAAGTTTAAAGCTTAATATGTTTTATGAAGCCGACCTCCCGGTGTTTGCTTTTTTTCAAAGATGACTCGAGGCAAGAAAATCGCTCAAAGTTTTCTTTCTACAGCCAAATTTAATAACTTACTATTCTTCGAAACGTTTTCTTTCTATTTGCGTTGAGAAAATATATCTAAAGGCTTTTTAAAGTTCTGTAAGCTTATCTTAGACCTGATACTAGGTCAGATCATTGTCTCAAACATGCATAAACTTGCCGCATAAACGGTGCTCGACTTCATGAAATTAGATACAAAAAAAAAACCAAACATCAAATACAGTTACTCAGGCTTACCATTCGAGATGCAGCCCCTGAAAGCTATCAAGTAAGGCCCGAATGGCTTGAGACTTTTGAACCCTCTTTTATGCATCAAGCAATGTGAAAAACGAAAACGATGCCATCCGAAATCGGATTTCGGACTTTGACAAGCGACGCGTCTCTCAACCAAAAAACCGATAAACAAACTAGCCATAAATAACAGACTACTCTTAATAGCAGCTGTATTTCATTTTGTACATCCAGGGCAAAAAGACAGTTAAAAACATCAGCAGTT